CGCGTGCAGGCCAGGCTTCGGCGCGGGATCGCGCGCGACTGGGAGGCTCGGAATGCCCGACCCTACTGGCGGGCGTTGGTGGGCTGCAGCTGCGAGAGGGCCGCGTGGCATCAGGCGGCCATCGGCGAGTGAGAGATGCCCCAGGGCGCCGAAGCTTGAGTCGCCGTGGCCGTCCTCCTGGAAATTCCCAAGGCCTTCGAGCAGGCGAGGCGCCGCAGGCTGATCGACGCGGCCACGGCCATTGGCTTCCCCTTGTAGCAACTCTAGTTGCAAGTGGAGCTGCACCGTGCGTCGCGAGTGCTCACGCTGGGACAGGCTGCGTCGGACGCAGTGGAGGCCGTGCAGTCGGTGCTCCCAGGCTTCGCGGCGAGCATGCTGAAGCTGATCCTGATTGGGCCGCTTGACCGCCTCGTTCAGCAGCGCCCGGCCATCTCGCTGGCGGTGGTGGTGGCGGGCGACTTGATGCTCCGCCGCATCGGCGGGCTGGCGCGCATCATTCGTGGAGTGGGCGACGCGGCGTACAAGCTCAAGATGCTGCTGCAGGAGGTCGACCTGGACGCGGCCGCGAAGAAGTTGCGCGCTAGCGAACCTTCCGCAGGCCCGGCGCAACCTGCCGCGCTTGCTAAAGCGGCCGCTCGGAGTGCAGTCGGCGCAGGGCGAGCGCAACCCCGGCGTGGGCAACGCGCGTGGCAGACGCGTTGTGCGCAAGGGGGGGAAGGACAAGGCGGCGCAGGCTGGCCTTCGGCTGCGGCGAGTGGCACCCCTGAAGACCGTCGCTTGGCGCAAGGCTGTTGTTCGCAAGGTGGCGCGATCTATCCCTGAGGCAAGCGTCTCCCACGGCTTCGCCGTCATGGGCTGCGCGGCCATGAAGCTGGACAAGCTCAGGACGGTCGCGTTCACGGCCGTCGCGTTCACGGTCCAGGACTCTCGCGCCCATGTTGACGCCGTTCCTCGACCCGATGCACCGCGCCACGGCCCTGCCTGCCATGGCCATGCTCAGGGCCGCGTGGGAGCAGTGGATTCTCCAGCACATCATCGAGTACGGATCATCGTCGCCACGTGGGCCCACTGCTGCTACGGTTCGCCTGGCGCCGAAAGAGAAGGGCTGGCTGGCGTCGATAGTCGTGGGCGGCCAGTGACCCCAGAGCAGCAAGTTCGACTGCGGCATGGCGCTCAGCGCAGATTGCTTGCTGTTCGGCGAGGTGGGCACCCTGCTGCACCGCCACTGTGGCTGCCCTGGGTGGCCTGCTGGTCTGCAGCTGCCAGCGCCGATGAAGAAGCTGCTGGCGCGCGTGGACCTGCGCGTGGTTCAGGCCCTGCTGGATTCCCGGACGGCTCGGCGTTCCGGGGTGACTTCAGTAAGTGCGCCAGCGTGGGCTGGGCGGCCATCGCCATGCAACTCAGGGCGGGCGTCTTCGCCGCGGGGGTCTCTGGCGTGCTGTGCGAGCCCCTGGTCGACATCAACGGAGGTGAGCTCTCGGCGCTCCTCGCGGTGCTGAGGTTTGCGCTGCCTCATGTCACGGCGACGGTGGACAGCAACTTCGCGTTCCTCGGCCTCCCGGAGCTGGGCGAGGCGCGCACTGCCTCCCACATGTGCGCGCGGGCGCACCTGTGGTGGGAAGTCTTGCGGTTGCTGCGCGAGTTCGGGGGCCTTGGCGCTGCAGGCCTCTCCGCGCGGTAGGTGCCTGCGCGCGCTGCGCGGAGGCGGATCTTTGACGGCCGCATCGCACACCGCGACTAGCACGGCGACGAGCTGGCGGACCAGGCGGCAAAGAGCGCCGCTGCCCATGGACGTCTGGCGCCGCGGGATCGGCAGAGCCTCGCGCGCGCTCGCGGAAGACCGTGGAGGGAGCGGCGATGTGGATCTCGGCGGTGGGCACGGCGCCGGGCGGTTCCGACGCTGCGCATCCGGTCGCCCGCCAACAAGCCCGCGCCGAGGGCGGCTGTGGTGGCGGCTGCCGCGGCGCCGCGGCTGGAGTGCCAGCTGCGCGGCGAGCCTGGCAAGAGGTGGTGCTCGGTCTGCCGCTGGACCGAGCTTCGCGGCGAGTGCCCTGGCACCATCGACAGTGCGTTGTGCCAGGCCAGCGCGGCGCTGCTCGAGGCTGGCAATAAGTCCCATTCCGTGGTCCAGCTGCTGCCGCCGAAGGAGGGCTTGTTGGAGCGCGAGGTGCCGCGACTGGCCTGCCTCGTGTGCGGGGCCACTGGCGCGGCCCCAGCGCCGTCCTTCACGAACCCGTGCGGGATGCCGGGCAAGGCGGGGAAGGCGGCCCCGTCGGGGCTGGAGGCGCGGCTCTCGACTAGCGCCGTGAAGCTGGCCGTGGCCACGCGCCCGCTGGAGGGCAGCCAGCGCGGCGCGCGGCTGGCGGCGGCGCCGGCGCGGCGACTGCCCCCGTGGTGGCGACGGCCTCAATCACGCGGGGTCCTCCAGCGGCGGCGGCGGCCCTGGTCGCTGGAGGGGCTCCGGAGACCTGGCGTGCTGGCGGGGGCGCTGGCTGCGCTGGGCATCCAGGCCCGGCGGCCTGGCACGGTCGCGGTCGCGGCCGCGCGCTCGCGGCGGGCCGCGGTTCGACCGCGCCTCGCTCTTTGGCGCGCTCGTCATTCTCCGCCAAACCACTCCTGGGAAGTGTAACTTCTCCCCTCCTCCTCTTCCCTTGTCCTCCTCGATGCACGAGGATCGCGCCTCATGGTTTTGTAAAAGACATCTGGAGGCATCCGATGCCCCCATGGAGGGCTCGGGGGCTCATGCGCCTCACGGGCTCCCGATTGCCGCTCGGTCTCGGCCCCCTCGGTGGGAGCCCTTCGGGGCCCTCGGGGAGAGCTGCAGGTGCAACGAGGTCCACTGTACCATTGTTTTCTGCGGGAGGTCCGATACTTGTTCGGATTCCAACTTGTAGTTTGAGCCTTGAGTCAAGGGCAGAAAAAAAACGCTCCTACCCTGGTTTACGAGGCGCTGTGCGCTGAAACTCCTGTGGGCTGACAGGGTAAACCCTGCGTGCTTTGCCGCGTCCTGGCGGCTCTAGGCTTTGGGAGTTCCCAGGAGGTTCACAGACCGTGCACTTGTAACCCAGGGTAGGGCCGTTTTTTCATCCCTCCATTGAGAGGCCCTGGGGGAAAGTTGGACATCCATCGGGAACTGGTGGTCCATGTTACCCGTGCCGTTCGTACCTGGGTCCCAGAAGAGTTCGAGATCACCCCAGCGAGATGTCTTGGTGGACCTTGACGTTTTTCCCGTGCTTTTCGTACCTTGGTCCCAGAAGAGTCCGAAATCACCCCGGGGAGCTTTGTTGATGGACCCTGCGAGCACATCGGGAGCGCAAAAACCTATACTGTTCGGGGCCCACGCTGGCGGAGCTTCGAACATGGCTGCTCGGATGGGATGCCTATCGCTGGGGGCCCTTGGGGAGCTGTTGTGCTGCAGGGCGTGTGCAGGGATGCGAGTGATTCCGATGAGCACCTAGCGACCCAGACCCCCTCGAGTAATGAAAAAATCATGACGGGATGTTTTTCCCAATTTTCGGCCTCCAGGGGCCCTCACTGGGCCTCGGGAGCGTCAAAAAACGACTCAGGGTGCAAAGCCGGTCATGGGGAAAGGGTCCAGACCTCTGGGGGTCGACGTAATGAAAAAATCATTACGTCGGGGGTCTGGGGAAGATGACGAAAGTATAGGTGAGGATGGTAACGTGAGCACTGACAGTGACGGGAGTCTACGTGCATACTATAGTAAACGTGAGGATCAATCGGGACGGCGGGGGGAGTGCTGATGATGAACACCGTGAATCATGAATATTCAAAGTATGATCGGGATCGGGGATGTTTGCGACTATGGAATGTTGGCGATGGGAGTGCTGAAGACGACAAAGCTGAAGATGAAGGGTCATCGGAATTGCGCAGACGAGGGGGGACGTCGATGAAGATGCGATGCCGATTATGATGATGACCGTGCTGTTCACGATAGTGCTTGTCGGATGGTTCCTGCGCGGGTGTTGGATCGAAAGTAAGCTCCATCGTGGACGTGTGGAAAAAAGACCCCTGCCTGGGGTGCAGGGAATAACATCGACTTCGACTGCAGCTTGCTTACGGCGGCTTGTTCAAGCAGGCGTGGAGGTCACGACGTCACCAATAGAGCGCAGCGGATTGTCCAGCGTGCCTGAGCCGAATGCGGGCTTGAAAAGTTCGGGGGAGCGGTCAGTTGGGCAGGCAGACGTGGATGTATCACCACCACCACCATCACAATATTGCTCATACTGAGGATCCCGGTAGCGACGATGGTGGTGATGCTGTTTTGATGGTGGTAGTGATGATGACGACGACGACGCCGATGATGCTGATGATGATAGTAACGAAGACGAAGACGATGCAGATGATGCAAATAATGATGATGATGATGATGATGATGATGATGATGATGATGATGATGATGATGATGATGATGATGATGATGATGATGATGATGATGATGATGATGATGATGATGATGATGATGATGATGATGATGATGATGATGATGATGATGATGATGATGATGATGATGATGATGATGCTGATGCTGATGCTGATGCTGATGCTGATGCTGATGCTGATGCTGATGCTGACGAAGACGAAGACGAAGGCGAAGACGATGATGATGCTGATGATGATGTTGATGATGATGATGATGATGATGATGATGATGATGATGACGATGGCGATGATGATGATGATGATGGTGATGATGCTGATGATGATGATGGTGGTGGTGGTAATGAGTATGTCATCCAGGACGGTGATGGTCATGACGACGACGACGACAACGATGATGATGATGCTGACGGTGATGCCGACGATGGTGATGATGGTGATGGTGATGGTGATGACGACGATGGAACTAGCATGATGAAGAGCAGGCGCAGCATGATGAAGAGCAGCGGCAGCAGTAACAAAGAGAGAAAGAGAGGGAAGCGTTGGAACGAGGCACAGCGGGCGCCCGACGCGGGAGGGTGTTGCGGCTGGCATCGCCCCAGGAGCGCTCATGCACAGGAGGCCGCCCACGGCCAGACGGCGGGGGCGTTTCCCTTCCACTGTCCTCACCTTGGCATATCTTTCATCTTGCTCTGTCTCTCTCTCTCTCTCTCTCCTTTCCGTGTCTCTTCTCTCCCGTCTCTCTCTCTCTCTCTCTTTCCCTCTTTCTCTCTCCTCTCTCTCTCTCTCTCCTCCTTCCTCTCCTCTCCTCCCTCTGTCTCTCTCTCTCTCTTTCTCCTCTTTGTTTGCTCTCGCTATCTCTCTTTCTGTCTCTCGCTCTCTCGCTCTCTCGCTCTCTCTCTCTCTCTCTCTCTCTTTGCGTCTCTCTCATCTCTCTCTAGTACTCCCTCTCTCTATCTCTATCTCTCTCTCTCTCTTTCTCTTTTTTTCTACGTCTATTTGTACCTATACGACCACCCTTCGGGTGATCAGGAGGTTCGGGGGGGGGAGGAACCAACGTCTCACTCGATCGGTCTCACTATCGATCTCACTATCGATCTCAGTGTCGGTCTCGCTCGATCGATCTCCCTCGATCGATCTCACTATCGATCTCACTCGATCTATCTCACAATTGATTTGACTATCGATCTCACACTCGATCTCACAATCGATATCACATTCGGTCTCACTATCGATTTCACTATCGATATCACAACCGCTCTCACAATCAACGTAATCATCATCATCATCATCAACAACAACAACATCAACATCATCATCACCAACATCATCATAATCGGGACACCGTCCTCATCATCAACACCAACATCATCATCATCATCATCATCATCATCATCATCATCATCATCACGGTCATCAACATCATCGGGACACCACCATCATCATCATCACCATCATCACAATCATCATCAAAATCATCATCATCAGCAGCATCGGGACACAGTCATCGTCATCATCATCAGCAGCATCATCATCGGGACACCATCATGATCACCATCGTTAGCATCATCATCATCATCATCATCATCATCATCATCATCATCATCATCATCATCATCATCATCGGAACACCATCATCATCATCATCATCTCATCCTCATCATCGACATCATCATCATCAGCATCATCAACATCATCATCAGCATCATCATCATCGTCGTCATCATCGGGGCACCATCATCATCATTAACAACATCAGCATCAACATCATCATCATCATCATCACCATCGGGACGCCATCATCATCAACATCATCACAATCACCATCATAATAATCATCATCATCGGGACGCCATAATCATCATCAACCTCATCATCATCAACATCATCATCATCGGGACACAATCATAATCAGCATCATCAACATCAACATCATCATACTCATCACCATCGGGACACCATTGTCATCATCATGATCATCAACATAATCATCATGATCATTATCATCCTCATCATCGGGACAACATCAGCATCATCATCATCATCATCATCGTCATCATCATCATCACCATCATCGACATCATCATCATCATCATCATCACCATCATCATCATCATCATCATCAACGGGACACCATCATCATATCATCATCATCATCATCATCATCATCGTCCTCATCATCATCAGCATCACCATCATCATCATCGACGTCATCATCATCAGCAGCAGCATCATCATCAGCATCACCATCATCATCATCCATCATCTCATCATCATCATCATCATCATCATCATCATCATCATCATCATCATCATCATCATCATCATCATCATCGCGGGACACCGCGGGACACCGGCGGGACACCGCGGGGCACCGCGGGACACCGCGGGACTTTCGCGGGACACCGGCGGGACACCGCGGGCCACCGGCCGCCCGGAAGGGAGTCATTTGGTCCGGCCGCGCCTCAGCCACACGGGACTTTCGCGGGACACCGGCGGGACACCGCGGGCCACCGGCCGCCCGGAAGGGAGTCATTTGGTCCGGCCGCGCCTCAGCCACAGGAGACTTTCTCTCGCCCGCCCACGCAGCTTCGCCTCGCCCGCACGCACGGCACGCACGAACACGAAACCGAAATCGATTTCCCGGTAGGGGGGCTCTCCGTTCCACTTCGATCTCACCCTCTCACCTCCGATGCACATGTGTGCTTGATCTCCCTTTCTCTCTCTCTCTCACTCCCTCTGTGTATTCCTCTTTCTCGCTCCGCCTCCCTCTTTCTCTCTCCCTCTCTCTGGTCTCTGCTCGAGAGCTCTGTTCAGCGCGAGCCCAGACGCCAAGCACCCCGCATCCTCCTTTCCCGCCTCGAGAGACTGGACACGACTCAGGTCGTGACAGAGTGGCGTCTTATCCATAGTCCGATCACTCTCTCTCTCTCTCTTTCTTTTGTCTTATGTGTTTCTCTTTCTTTCTTCATTTCTCTTTCTCTCTCTCTCTGTTTATTTGGTCTTATGTGTTTCTCTTTCTTTCTTCATGTCTTTCTTTCTTTCTCTCTCTCTCTCTATCTCTCCCTCTTGCCCTGTCTCGGGTTCAACGGGAGCACGAAATTGAGCGTACTGAAGCATGGCTGCCAGGGGGGACAGAGTGCGTTTTTACTGTTTCGAGTGGGTGTGTGCGTATGTGCGCGCGTGTGTGTGTGTGTGTGTGTGTTTGTTTGTGTGTCGCACACGGCATGGAGCAATTTACGCCGGTTGCGCCCGCGTGCGGCGAAGGGGGGGGGGGACAGGGAGGATTATGGGGTAAGGGAGGAGGACGTGAAGAGAAGGGGGCGGAAAGGGGGCATCGAATGACTGAGAATAGAGAAGGGAGGAGGATGAAGGAAGGACGAGAGGGAGAGGGAGGCGAAGGGGGGAACATGAAGGGATGGACCAGGGGGTGATGAGGAGCCGGGTGGGAAGAGGGAGGCGGAGGGAGGAGCGTGGAAGCGTGGGGCGGCGGGGCGATAAGACACAAGCCGCGGGAAGCGGATGATGGAAATTGTCGGATGCAGGAGCGGGGAGGAGCGGGAAAAAAGAGGAGAGGGGAAGGGGGGGATGAAGGTTGGAGGAGGGCGATGGACTGGGGGGAGGGAGGGGGGGGCGAAGGCTTGCATGAGGGAGGAGAAACGAGGAGGGTGGTGCCTCCTCTTCATCCCCCCTTTCCCTCCTCATCCTCCCTGCTCCTTCTCCGTATCCCCCCTTTTCCTACCCACTGTTGCATTCATCATCCGTCCTCTCGCCATCCTCGCCTCCCTCCTCACCCGCGCGTGTCGTTTTTTCCTCCTCCCTCCTTTTCTTCCGTCCGCCTTGCCCGTCCTCCTCCGTCCTCCTCTTGTTCCTCCTGGCACCACGAAGGGGTCCATTTCTTCTCCTCCTCCTCCTCCTCCTCCTCCTTCTCGTCCCTCTGTCCTCCCTTCCCCTTCCCGCCCCCTTTCCTCCCCCTTCCCTCCCTCTTCCGTCCCTCCCTCCCTCCTCCTCGTCGTGCTCCTTCTCCTCCTCACCCTCCTCCTCCTCCTCCTCCTCCTCCTCCTCATCCTCCTCCTCCTCCTCCTCCTCCTCCTCCTCCTCCTCCCTTCGTCCTCCCTCCTCCCTCCTCCCTCCCTCTCTCTTCCCACCCCCCTCCTTCCCTCCCTCCTCGTCGTCGTCTGCCTCCTCCTGCTGCTTCAGGTGGAGCAGATCATGGAGTGTGGTTTCACGCGCCAACAGGCCATGGAGGCGCTCAAGCGCACCAGCTCAGTGGAGGACCGCGCGCTCGAGGGCGGGGGGGAGGACTTAGTGGGCCCTGGAAACGACAGGGCCGTTTTTTTGCCGGTTCCGTTTTGCCGTTTTTAGCCGGTTCCGACGCCGTTTTTTTACCGGTTCCGTCGCCGTTTTGTTACGGGTTCCCGCTCCGGTTCCAATCTTGGAGCCGTTGTTGTTGCCGTTTCCGGTCGCTTTTTTTGCCGTTTCCATTTTCAAGGGACACTTTTTCGGAAACGGTGAAAAAACGGCCTTGCCGTTTCCGGGGCCCCCGAAGGGGAAGGATCATGTTGAGGAAGAGGGCGGGGAGGAGGAGGAGGGGGAGGATTGTCTGGGGCCGTTTGGCCCATGTTTGGTTTTGCCTTTGGGGCTCTCATTCGTTATTGCAGGAGCCAGTGGGTACCGCACCCGATCGCGCCGGGTTGCCTGCGGGGGGTCCTCCATCCTGTTTTCTGCAAGGGGGGTCCTTTGGGCCCTTGGTCTTGTTTCCTCACCAGGTCTCTCCCGTTTTCCTTGGTCTTGGTTCCTTGGTTCATTGGTTTTGTTTTTTTGGTTCTTTCGTCTTGGTTCCTTGGTTCCTTTCTTCTGGTTCCTTGGTCTTGGTTCTGTGGGTCCTTGATCTTGGCTCCTTGCTGCCTTCCTCGGGTTCCTTGGTTTGGGTTCCTTGGTTCCTTGGTCTTCACTCCTTTGTTCATTGCTCTTGGTTCCTTGGTTCCTTGGTCTTGGTTCCTTGCTACCTCGCCACGCTTGCTATACCTGGCCATGCAATGCCAAGCAATGCCACTCAATGCCAATTAATGCCAAGCAATGCCACACAATGCCAAGCAACATTACGCACTGCAATGCCTCGCAGTCCACGCGATGGCAAGCAATGTGCCAAGCACTATGACAAGCAATGCCAATCAATATGTGAAGCAATTTTCCAAGGAATGCCAAGTAAGGCCACGCAGAGCCATGCACTGCGCCAATGCAATCGGAAGCTTTCCCCTGCTTGGGGTCGCGCCGAGTTCATTGGTTTAGTTGGGCGCCTCCAGGGACCCCAGGAGCCCTCCCAGGGACTTGTGACCTCTGGAGACCGAGTTCCGGAGAGTTGCGAAGAGCAGGACGAGGAGGAGAGGCCAGCGTAAACCTTGCACGCCCCACTGATGCTGCAAAGAACTCTGCACGCGAGCGCACTTCTTGTTTCTATGGGAGGGGTGGGCCAGGAACAAGAAGAGGAGGAGGATGAGGAGGAGTGAAGAGGAGGAGTAGGAGGAGGAGGAGGAGGAGGAGGAGAGGATGAGGCGGAGGAGGAGGAGGAGGAGGAGGAGGAGGAGGAGGAGGAGAGGAGGAGGAGGAGGAGGAGGAGAAGGAGGAGGATGAGAGGAGGAGGAGGAGGAGGAGGAGGAGGAGGAGAGGATGAGGCGGAGGAGGAGGGGGACGACGACGATGACGACGACGACGACGAGGGATGGTTGGTCCGTGGATTGGAGACGCCGCGGCCCTTACGAGTGGAGCTCACCGCTTCCCCTGTGGTGCGGCTCCTTCTGTGAAGGCGGACGCGGAGGGAGGGAAGATCATGAAGAGGAGAAGCGAGGAGGAGCAGGAGCAGGAGGATGAGGAGGACGAGGAAGAGGAGAAGCGAGGAGGAGCAGGAGGAGGAGGAGGAGGATGAGGAGGAGGAGCAGTGAGGGAGGGACGGAGGAGGAGCAGTGAGGGGGAGGAGGACGACGACGATGAGGAGGATGAGGTTGACGAGGATCAGGATCAGGAGGCCAAAGGGGGGGGGGAGTTGGGGAGGGTGGGGGATGACGGGGAGGGTGACGAGGCGGATGGCGACGATGATAGAGCGGGCTCGGCTTGCAGCTGGGGCAAGGCGAGTCTCCTGGGCGTTTCCGCAGGCTCCCTGTGCTCGGGCATGTGCAGCCCACGCCCCAGTGCGTGCTTGTCACCGCCCTGTGGGGGCTAACGGCCAACCTCTTTCTGACGGGGCTGCGGCCGGCCCCTGGGCCGGGGCAGGGCTTCTCGGCCGAGGCGGCCGAGGCGCCATGAGCGAGCCGAGGCCGCCTCCGAGGAGGCCAGCGCCGCCCGCGAGAAGGTGGCGTCGCGGCTCGGCCTGCCCGGGGCCAGGGTCTCAAGCAGTGGCGAGGCGTTCTGGCGTGCCCAGATGTAGGCCTACCAGACAGTGTTCTAAGAGCCGTGCGTGGTTTCCAAGGAATGTTCTTAGAGCAAGTCTGGCTGGGCCTGTCCTGTCTTATCACATCGGGCCTGTGTTCTAAGAACGTTGCTTTTGTTTGACGAGCGGTTTTGGGTTCTAAGAGCATGTCGTGGTAGGACTATAGGAATGCCGGGACGGTCGGTCCCTGCTCAAGGGTCGACGAGGTCGGCCAGCTGATCCACAACTTGGCCAGCAGCCGATCGAGGTACTCCAACCCGGGCGGGCGAGCCGTCGGGGTGGCAGAGTGGTGCGATGGGCTGGCGGCCGGGCGGCGCGCGGCCGCAACTAACCTACACCGGGGATCCCGAGTGCTGGCACGAGCGGGCACTGCTGTGGCCCGGGCCATGTGACCCCATCTCGAGGCTCTGGTTCGTGTGCGCGCCCGACGGCGACCTTCACGTGGAGGCCATCGCGGCGGGTCTGGGCTGGGGCAGCCGCTCTGCCGCTCTTCACCGAGCGCGTTCCACTACTCCCGAAGTGCCTACTCGCAAACGTCCGACAAGCACACGTCTGCTTCGATGTTATTTCTCGTAGATCCCCCCTGGCGGATCCAGGCCATTTGCGACTAACTACTTTGCGTGTAGTGGAACGAGCTCGTCTAACTCTGGACTTTTTGGGTGGCAGCCCGAAAATCCCAGCGAGTACGTTGTAGTCATGCTTTCCAGCCGTTGCGGACCGATGACAACCTCAAGGAGTCGATCGGCGAGGCCATGAGAGAGACAGCCGGCGCTGGTCTTGTGATTCCATTCCCCCCGCTGACCAGAAGTATATCCAACGCGACTGTTTAGGGGTCCCGCTCGGTGACCTGCTGGCGCTCACAGTCGAGCCAGAGCTGGGCGCGCTGGAGGGGGGCGGGGGTGGCGGCCACGACGAGCCGCCGGTGCCCAACCAAGTCGGCCATCACGTCCTTGGTACCGCCACCCTGTTGCCCCGTGTGCCCGGGCCAGGTCAGGCCTGGGTGGGTCTCGAGACGGTGGCCAGAGAGATCACTCGCGATGATGATGTAAAGCTCGAAGAGACGGCGCTTGTCGGCGGCGCCAGGGCGATCCACACCCTGCCCAGTGGCAAGCGCGTCGCGGCAAGACTCATGGCTCAGCCCGGTGGAGTCGGTGGTGGACGAGCCGGGGCTCGGGGACTCGAGGACGCTGGGACCTTTACGGTGTCACTCGCGGTCAGCGGCATCTCGAGTACCAAGCGGGCGCGGTGGAGCTGCGTGGAGAGGCACGGTCATCTCTATCGCTTCAGCGCTACACCACCGAGCATGGAAAGTACGCCCGCTGGTCGTCACACCAAGTACCTCACCGAGGAGTCACTCCAGGCCGATATCACTGCGAGCCTCATGCACGACTTCCTGGGTCTGTTCATGTTATTGAGTGCATTGCGCGATCAGGCTGATGGGGCATATTTCGCTTGCGTGGAGATGGTTGCCCGAACCTGCCAGCTGGTTGTAGAGACGAAAGGTCCCATGCGTTCCGAGTGCATCGGGCGTGAGCAGGGTGGCGCCACGCGGCGCGGCCTCACTTTGGCGCCGTCGCTGGCGCGACACGCCACTGACCAGTTGGCCAAGGGGGCCGACGTCGCCATGCAGCACCGCAACTTCAGCGAGGAGCAGGCGGCCAAGCGGGGCGAGGGCGACCACGCTATGATGGCCCAGGACAACGACAATACAAAGGACAAGGACAGCTCGCCAGCGGGGCGAGCTCGACGGGGGCCGCGCGCGGCGAGCGTGCGCCCGAACCAGAGTGCCACATAATTCATCCTGCCGTGATCAATCGCGTTGGAGTTGGCGCCTTCCCCAGCTTTCGCGCGACCCCGACATGAGGCGGCGTTGCCACGGCATTGCGGATCTACTGCGCGTGCTTTCAGGCGTGCCAAGGAGACGATCGATGCGCTCAACCCGATGGCAGGCTACCCTTCCCTCAATCAGAGCCCCTCGGTCACGTCACCTTTGCGCCGCGAATTCTACAATCGAGTGGCGCGGCTCCATGCCACGCCGCCCCCCGTGCTCAGTGCCGTCTCGGACAGATTGCGGGGGGCTGCTGGGACATCCACTCTTCGGTTATTCAGGGGAGGCCACACCGCTACGATCCTATTCGCGACACCTGGTTTCTTGGCCAGATGTGGACAACCGACCTGGGTGGTTCATCGACAGGCGGACCGCTCTGGACCAGTCTATTCTCTCGCACTGCTGCCGCAGTCCGAGTTCGAGGAGGTGATCAAGACTGAGCAGCGGCCTGTGCTCTACATGGGTCCAGTTCTCAGCAAGTAACCGAAGGCGCATCGTGAGTTTGCGCGCGACGCCGTTTCCCGAGGGTGCTTTCGCGTGAGCCGCTGCCGCCGGTAAGGCGCCGCCTTTCGTCGCTGAGAAGGGCGGCGTCATTCGACTCGTGCTCGACTGTCGCCATTCGAACCAGAGGCTTACAAGGCGTGGCCCGACCGCGCTGGTCAGCGGGGCGAGTTTCGGTGATTTCGAGGTGGCCGAGGGCGAGTCAGCTCGATTCGGCGGCCTCGATGTCAAGGGCGCCTTCGACCAGCGCCGCCTGCCGAGCTACCTCCGCGATTACTTCGGCCCGTGGCGCGTCCGAGCAGGCGCCGCTGGTGCGACGCAGATCCTGGGCAGTCCAGTTGACCCGCGGCACTTCGTGCATCCGCAGGTGGCGGCGGTGCCGGCGAGCGGGCCTTGGATGACCGCCCGTCTTTCCGCTCGCGTCCGCGGGGCGTTGTTTCCGACCGCCCCCGCCAGCGCGAGGGGGCCCAGCGCGCCCCGTGCGCTTCGACAACGTTCTCCCGGTGGCCGCCGTTGTAT